CATAATCACCTTGGGGATCAGAAAGCTGACTTTAAATTCCAATACAAACATAGAGATCATTAAAAATGCAGAGAAATAAGAGTTTTGTTGACCTTCAAAACCAAAAACAGGATAAGCAATTCTCCCAGTATTGTAATTTCTCTCAACACCAGTCTACATTCGAGCATATGAAGGAAGTAAAACAACCCCAACACTTCAAAAGATGACTGATTACAGGTATTTGAGACACCATGGCCGCTGACAGAGTAGGAGATGGCGTAGAAACTTCCCTCAACATTTTGCCTTCTCTTTGTGAGATACAACAATGACAGAAACACTTGAGTTATTTCACCAGCAGAAAGCCTTTTTATGGAAACTCAACTGTCAAGTAGCCTATTGCCATCTAGTGACCTTTCATTTAGTTTTTTCTTCCCTAATTGACTGACGAAATAAGTTATTACTTCATAAAGGAATTATTTAAATTGGCTTTAGTGTGGTACCTTCCAGAAAGATTAAGATTATATTACACTTAACTCCATGAGGCCTATCTTTCTGAAGAATAATAAAAGACAGCTGTCAGGGCTTGACACCAATAAACTGTTGATCTTTCTCATCAAGACTCGATAACAATGGCATAACTGTCAGTCAAAAATGTCATCAGACGAGTGCCTGATACTTGACCCGAATATTAATATCAATATCTATTCTCTTAATCTTATTTTAATAAGGATCAAATCAAGCTCACAAAACTGGTGCAGACCAGTTTTACATTGAGTCACAAATCACACATGTAGAGACATTGTGGATAAAAGATATGAGACTGAGGATATTTCATGAGTGCATTTTAGAGCTTATATGAAATGAAAAAGATCCCAGTTACACTACATGTGATAATCTCAATGTTTAGGGTTAATATTGCACATTTATATGGTATTTATCTGTGAAATGCTGCCACTTGTTCCTAAAGTGAAAGATTTGCTTTGCAGATGTTTTCTAAGTGAGGAAATGCACCGAACATGTTTGTTAGATTGGGCTGCTTAAAATGATCTCTTTAATGTTATCCAGGAGTGTTTCTTGACAACACAGGACATCACTCTCTCACAGTGTTCATCGTTTAAGGGAA